ATGGAAGACACAGTTGCAGATCAATGGTGAGAGGCTGGGAGAGGTTAATATCAAGAGAGGAATATTTCAAGGAGATTCATTATCACCATTACTATTTGTTATTGCACTGTTTCCTCTGTCAACAATACTGAATAACTCAGGACATGGCTATCAAACATCAAAAACATCTGCTAGACTATCCCACCTCCTTTACATGGATGATCTGAAGCTGTATGGAAAAACATCATCTGAAATAGAATCGCTGCTCAACACTGTCCGTATATATAGCCAAGATATTGTAATGGAGTTTGGCTTGGACAAATGTGCCACACTTACTATCAAACAAGGAAAAATAGTGAAAACTGAAGGAATCAAGATGCCCCACGAAAATAACATTAAAAGTCTGGATGAGGAAGATACTACAAATACTTGGGTATCCTTCAAGCTGACAACATCAAGCACACTGAAGTCAAGAAAAAGATTAGAGGTGAATACATCAAGAGAGTGAAGAAGATCTTAAAATCCAAACTCAATGGAGGAAATACCATAAAGGCAATCAACACCTGGGCAATCCCAGTCATTAGGTACACAGCTGGAATAGTGGACTGGACTCAAGCAGAACTAAAAGCAATGGATAGGCAGACCAGAAAAATAATGACAATGAATCATGCCCTTCATCCACGCAGTGACATTGATAGACTTTATCTACCAAGGCAAATAGGTGGGCGTGGAATGCTACAAGTACATCAGATGGTTGAAGAAGAAAAAATGGCTTTGGAAGAATATCTGAAGAACAATGATGAAGATGCACTGAAATTAGTATATCAGGAAGGCTTACTAACTACTGGAGAGACCAAACTGGCCTACAAGAAAGACCAAATGAAGAACAGAATAGAGGCATGGGAAGACAAAGCACTACATGGCCAATACATTAAAAAAATAGCTGGGAAAGCAGATAATAATAAAACCTGGCAATGGCTAAGAGCAGGAAAATTGAAGAAAGAGACCGAGGGACTAATTCTGGCTGCACAAGACCAAGCCTTAAGGACAAATGCATACAAAGTCAAAATTGAGAAGACAGCAACAGACAGTAAGTGCCGCCTATGCAAAGAAGCTGAAGAAACAGTGGACCACTTGGTAAGCTGTTGCAAGAAGATTGCACAGACTGATTACAAGCAGCGACATGACAAAGTAGCAACAATGGTGCATTGGAGGATCTGCAAAAAATATCATTTGCCTGTAAGCAAAAACTGGTGGGATCATAAAATAGAGAAAGTCATAGAAAATGATAAAATTAAACTGCTCTGGGACTTCAGAATTCAAACAGACAAGCACCTGCAACATAACACCCCAGACTTAACAATTGTCGATAAGAAAGACAAAAAAGTCTGGATAGTGGACGTGGCAGTGCCTGGAGATAGCAGAATAGAAGAGAAAGAACTGGAGAAGATAACAAAATACAAAGACCTACAAATAGAAATAGAAAGACTGTGGCAAAAGCAAGCAAGGGTAGTACCAATAGTCATAGGCTCCTTGGGTGCAATCCCAAAACAACTGGAGCACCACTTGAACACCATTGGCATTGACAAATTTGCTATTAGTCAATTGCAAAAGGCGGCCTTATTAGGAACTGCTTCCATCCTGCGACGATATCTGTAATACCATCAAACATCCACATCTGCCTATCCCAGGTCCTGGGTAAGGACTCGATAGGTAGACAAAATGCCAAATCCAGTCTGAACATCTGGCTGACTGTGCGATGATTAATAATAATAATAATAATAATAATAATAATAATAATAATAATAAAGTTGGAAGGGACCTTGGAGGTCATCTAGTCCAACCCTCTGCTCAGGCAGGAAACCCTATACCATTTCGGACAAATGGCTATCCAGTTCTTCTTAAAAACTTCCAGTGTTGGCACATTCACCGCTTCTCGAGGCAGGTTGTTCCACTGGTTAATTGTTCTAACTGTCAGGAAGTTTCTCCTTAGTTCTAGGTTGCTTCTTTCTTTGGTTAGTTTCCACCCATTGCTTCTTGTCCTGCCTTCAGGCGCTTTGGAAAATAGCTTGACTCCCTCTTCTTTGTGGCAGCCCCTGAGATATTGGAACACAGCTATTATGTCCCCCCTCGTCCTTCTCTTCGTTAAACTAGACATACCCAATTCCAGCAACCATTCCTTATATGTTTTAGCCTCCAGTCCCCTAATCATCTTTGTTGCTCTTCTCTGTACTCTTTCTAGAGTCTCAACATCTGTTTTACATTGTGGTGACCAAAACTGGATGCAGTATTCCAAGTGTGGCCTTACCAAGGCATTGTAAAGTGGTATTAATACTTCACGTGATCTTGATTCTATCCCTCTGTTAATGCAGCCTGCATTGTGTTGGCTTTTTTGGCAACTGCAGCACACTGCTGGCTCATATTTAAATGATTGTCCACTAGGATTCAGAGATCCCTCTCACAGTTACTACTATTGAGCAAGGTGCCACCTATGCTGTACTTGTGCATTTGGTTTTTCTTGCCTAAATGTAGGACCTTGCTTTTTTCACCATTGAATTTCATTTTGTTAGATAGCGCCCAGTGTTCAAGTCTGTCCAGATCCTCCTGTATCTTAAGCCTGTCTTCTGGAGTGTTGGCTATTCCTGCCAGCTTGGTGTTGTCTGTAAATTTGATGAGTTCCCCATCTATCCCTTCATCCAAATCATTGATGAAGATGTTGAAGAGCACTGGGCCCAGAACAGAGCCCGGGGCACCCCACTACACACTTCCCTTCATGTAGATGTGGTTCCATTGAGGACCACATGCTGAGTATGGCCGGTCAGCCAGCTACAGATCCATCTGGTGGTGATGCTGTCTAACCCGTATTTTTCTATCTTTTCAAGTAGTAGGTTGTGGTCTACTTTGTCAAAAATAGATGGAATAAGTACAAATCCAGGTTATTTTCAAAAACACCTTTGTGGTTCTTGGCACAAGAAACATTTTAAAGGCAAGGAAAATAGGCAAATACAAATGGTTAACTTATTGTGAGATACTAGAATTTTGTCACAAGAAATACAAAATAAAATCAAGAGAAGAACGTGGCAGAGAAACATATTTGCCAATGTATGATAATTTATAAATGAAAAAATGAGAAAATATATGATTGAAAGGATTGAAATTTACACTATGTTATAATCTTAAAGATATTTTTTTTAAAAAAAAAAATGATGTACTAATATATATCTATACTGCACAGACTCATCCCAAACAGCAAGATGAGTGGTATAAATTTAATAATAAATAAAAAGTCACAAGAGAAACTGCGAGGATGTATAAAATCATTTCAAGTACACATTGGAAATTTAAACAACAAGAAAGGACATGTTATCATGCTTGGTGGATATGTAAAAAAGCTAGAAAATTTGGAAAGAATGGAGCTCCAAAATAAAATTTTGATGATTGATCTGGAGTCTGCTCAATGGAAGTACAAAAAATTTGGGTTTTATTGTATGTAGATACATACATATATATATGGTATAGCCATTGTGCTATACCTTTTCAAGTTAAGTACTTATGCAGAGCACAGAAAGGAGCAAGAAATAGTAATCCAGATAAATTAAAGGCATAACATTCAAGAAAATAAATCTGTATCTGATGAAAAGAAGTAGAAGATTGTGGATTATTTTTGTTATTTTTAATTAGATATTTATTATTTAATCTTATTTCTGTTAGTTTATATATATAGAACTAAGATGTCAGCCTTGAAAATCCTGATTAAAATTTTTAGAAGAAAAAGAAATGTTAAATTATTCCTTGTTTTTATTCCTCTTTAACATAGGAAGATCCCTAAAGTAAATCCCACTATTGCCAAACCCACACTGAGTCCACTTAGACCAGTGGTGACGAACCTATGGCACAGGTGCCAGAGGCGGCACTCAGAGCCTTCTCTGTGGGCACGCGCACCATCGCCCCAGTCCTAGGCCTTCAGCTGGGTTTTATAAAACCTTTTCGCTTTAGGCCTCCACCACCATGTGCAAAAAAAAAAAAAAAAGGTTCAGTCAATTTCAACTTCTTGCGGGGGAAAAAAAAAGATCTTGCAAAGCTGGAATTGATTGATTGAATTTTTTAGTCCCATCCAGTCTGCCGTTACCACTGCAGCTACACCCACCCAATGGGCCATGTCCACCCAATTGGCCACACACAGACAATGGGCCACACCCACCCGGCACTCGACAATGCATAAGTGGGTTTTGGGTTGCAGTTTGGGCACTCAGTCTCTAAAAGATTCGCCATCACTGACTTAGACTAACACCTTTGTAAGTATGCAGATAAGGTTAATACTTCGTATTGATTAAGGAAAATATTTGAAGCTCATGGTTGGAAGAAAACAACCAAGCTCAGAGAACATAAAAAACCCTTCATTACTACATCATATTAAGACATACAGCAGCCTGGTTTGCTTGACAGCAATTTGTGTATTTATGGCTATATATTTTGGATAAACATAGCCAACCTCTGTTACTCAGCCAACCATAATCAAATAAACATGTTTATTGCTGTGATATTGCACATTTTTGCAGAGTTGTTACTTATGGCATTAATGCCAATATGAAGACGTGAGGGTACATGGACAGCAGAATGTCCTGTATTACTTTAGTTTCCAGGCAGTCATGTCAATAGAATTGGTGAAGGCATACACAAACTCCTGAAAATCAAGAAGATTTTTAAGCAAGTCTCTTTCTTGCTGTGATGGTTGATTCAAGTACAGTACTATATTTATCTGAAAGAAAAACTAGATTTTTTTTCTAAACATTAACCTTTAAATTGAGAAGATTATGTCTCATTTGTAGAGAACAGTTTAGAGATATGATTTAATTTTACAAGCAATAGTGTGTTTTAACTGACTCCAGTTTACAGCTATTTAATTCTTTTAAATTATCAAATTTTTGAATTATTTGTTTTCATACAAACAGTATTTGCCCTGTTAACATTTCCAATCATTAGCAAGGTAATATAAACTTTTATTTCCATTTTCTTGACAGAGAGATCTCTCAAAATGATGACCTGGAAACTATAGAATCAGATGTTTTCTCACACCTGCCCAAGCTTTATGAAATGTAAGTAATAAATGGAATTAAAAGTAGAAAATCTCATAAAAATGTGATGAACTAATTGATGAAATAATATAAATGTTATTTATATTTATCAAAAAAAAGAGGACAACAGTCTATTTCTATCCCACTATTGGTGACTATCATGGTCTTGGAAGCATGGTACCATGACTATCTTTCCCTTGGAGCCTGAAAAAATGTACCAATATTTTTATTAAAAAATAGAAATTAGCCCTTGGCTGCCATTTCTTCACTTCTAGACTCAGTAAAATCACTATAAAGTGTCACTCACCAAACATTCCTGTGGAGGGTATTATGAAGATGTAGTATCATCACTGAAAAGGCTGCCTCTTTTTTCCTGCTTGCCTGATATTGAAAATGGTGGCACTTTGGAGAAGCTTCAAATAATAATCTAAGATAATAAACAGTTTCAAAAGGAAAATATTGAAGCCCTGATTTACTCAATGAGTTGTAAGGAATGATACATTTGGAGTAAAGGAAGGAATTACCAGATTGATCATAATCCTTGAACAGGTAAGTTTTCAAGATAAGCTCTGTCTGAAATCAAATTCATAAAGTCAATTTATGATTAACTTGTCGTGATAAATTGACATTATGAATTTGATCATTGATAATTCATACTATCACAGTATCTCTCTATTGATCTGTTCTTATCAAAAGACTAACTTACCATGTGATAAGTTAGTCTTTCGGTAAGAACAGATCAATAGAGAGATACTGTGATAGTAAGCATCTAACAATTGATTCACAATAAGCTTGTATGTGGGGCTACAGTTATCATATGTAGATGTATACATTGATTACACTGACATCAGAAAAGTAAGGTTTGGGTAATGGTCCTCAAGAGATGGTGGTGCCTTTCTATAAACATATAACTTGATATCAAAGTTATAGTGAAATTTTATATTTGATAAGTTACATACAACTTAATAGATAAATACTGATTACCCACTCTATTTACTATCAAAGAGCAAGATTTAAGTCTTTACAATACATATTCCCATGAACATATTTCTTTTTTCCCTACAGAAGGATTGAGAAAGCAAACAATCTTGTGTATATTGATAGAAATGCATTCCAGAAACTTCCCAGTCTCAGATATTTGTAAGTTTGTGATTTATGTAACTGTTTCAAATCAAGTTATTTTTACATACAGTATTCTTTTTATTTTGTTTTGTCTACACAATAACCATCCAGTCAATTTCTTTCATGTAATTAATGCAACTGGTCCTGTGGTGAAAACAATTCATATTCCCAGTTCAAAAATGAAAGTTTTGATGATGGCAACTCTATTTTATTTCAGGTTCTTGCTTATGCATTTATTGCTATGTTTTTTAGTGTTTGTAGAATGTAACTGTGGGAATAAAATGGAATTGTTCCTTGATAAGTGTGGCAGTTTCTTCTTTCTCCCATTTCCATAAATGAAACATGTTATGAGCTTCAAAAGCCTTCTGAGAAAAAGTATATAATAAACTACGTATGTAATTCTAAGAACTGCAAGTTACTATCAGAAATATATCTCTAATTCTGTTATGTTTAAGGAGCAGCGGGCAATTCTGCTCTTCCCTTTGCTGCCATAATAATCCACATAATGATCCAGAAGAGCATTCTGGTTCTAAGAGGGTTTGTTTCTAAATGTAATCCATTGACTTAATTGAAGCCAAAGTACTCTTCTGTTTGGATAGATATTTGCAGTGAAGGGATATTCAACAGGAAAAAGTCTACTAGCTCTTCCCTTTACTGTGTTCTTACCACTCTGTGGATACAGTCAGATATTGGAATAGGAATTAGCACTTTCCATGTGCATCAAAAATTCATTCATGCAGCACTGCCTACAACAGATGCCCTTTTTTTCCCAAGTAGCTCATATATTCTTTGAATATATGTATATTGTACTAAACTTGGAAACAGGCAAATATTAATGATAGAAAACAAAGACTTCACATCCTTATGGTTGAAGAAACAAGCTTAAAGATGTAATAGCCTTTTTTGTTGTTACTGTTGCACTTTTCATGACCAAAAGCCTTTTTTTTTTTGAACCCCTGCCTTAATTTGTGATGGAGATACAAGAAGTTAGGCTCAGTTTGGTTTAGGGAATTGTGACACATTCAGTACTATGCTGCCATTTCTTATTTGAATTCTTAAAAACTATGGTCTTTACCTGAGGCAAATTCAGCAATTTGTAATGTGTTTCTTTTTTAATTATTTTTGGCACTGCAATGTATTCACAAATGCCATGCCAGACCAGTTTTTTCCCAGCTTTATTTCACACTGATCAGTTGATGAGATATAATGGAAAGGCAAAAGAATCTCAGTGCTTCATCACAGCATTACACACTCCACTGAGAAAACTTGAGTGGCTTTTTAAAAACTTAATGAATAAAGAAAAGGGACAGAGCTGCAGATACCAATGTAAATTTATTTTTCCATTTCTTTCAGGCACCACATTATTTAGACTTTTCATGTTATGAGGAAAGGTGCCAAGAAAACAGGATTATTTGCTTATTGCTTCCTGCAGTCATACAATAACTTTCTTCTAAAGGTTGCAGTACAAATAGTCCTTGACTTACGACTACAATTGGGATTGGAATTTTGGTTGCTATGTGATGTGGTCATTAAGCTGGACCTGATTTTATGGACATTTTCACTGCAGTTATTAAGCAAATTGCATAGTCATTAAGCGACTTATGTAGTCATTAAGCAAATCCAGCTTCCCCAGCTGACTTTGCTTTGGCCACAAAAGTTGTAATACCATGTTTCCCCAAAAATAAGACCGGTCTTATATTAATTTTTGCTCCAAAAGACACATTAGGGCTTATTTTCTGGTTAGGTCTTATTTTTAGGGAAATGTGGTATTAAATGTATCCGATTGGCTGACAATCTTAACTGGGGCTTATTTTTAGGGTGGGGCTTATATTATGAGTATCCTGAAAAATCATGCTAGACCTTCTTCTGGCTGGGTCTTATTTTCAGGGAAACATATTCTATCTACTTGATACTGATAAATCATAACCAGCTCCATATACAAGTAAATCCTCAACTTACAACAGTTCATTTAGTGATGGTTCAAAGTTACAACAGCACTGAAAAAAGTGACTTATATTTATTAGACTTGGTTGGTTTGTAACTAAAGCAGCATATAAGTTTGAACAAGCAAGCAAGCAAATAAATAAATACAGTCTATGTTAAGTCATGTTAAGTCTATGTTAAGTCACTCCATGGTCACATGATTAAAATTCAAACACTTGGCAACTGGCTCATATTTAAGATGGTTACAGTGTCTCAGGGTCAAGTGATCACCTTTTGTGATCTTCTGACAAGCAAAGTCAATGGGAAAGCCAGATTCACTTAACAACTGTGTTACTGAATTAATAACTACACTGATTCACTTAACAACTGGGACAAGAAAGGTCATAAACTGGGGCAAAATTCACTTAGCAACTGACTCACTTAGCAACACAAATGTTGGGTTCATTTGTGGTTGTAAGTTGAGGACTACCTGTACTGAGTCATACACAATTAGGAAACTAGGCTTACCCTGCCATATGGCATGATTTCTGGGCGAATAATATTATTGACATCACTCATTTAGAAGAAAAGGCCCGCACTATTATATACACCTCTGAACTACAGGAGTAACTTCTGAGTAAACATAGACAGAATTTAGCTTCATATCACATTTTATTTCTATTAATATATATTCCTTAATTGGAAAAAAGAAATTGCAATTATTTCATGTCCCTCTTCCACATGTTAATTTTTAAACTCTCTACTTAACTTTGAAATCATAATCAGGCATCCATAAAGATTAATAACGTATTTCAAACTAAAATGCTGGTTAATAACTACTTTATGCAATAACAAAAAGAATGAATATGATTAGGGTCCAATTACATTTGTTAAGGGCTTTCATTCATTGTTTCTCCATCCCTCCCGCTTTTTTTAAGGAAAGTGTGCCCTTGACTTGCTTCCAAAGATTTGTCAAACAGAGCATAAAATTGTTAATTGCTTCTTTCCAGCACAGGCCAAATGGACAATCTGTTTCCAAATGGTAGCTTGTTGCCCTTTTCAATACTGTAGATATAAACTTCATTAAAAGGAAAGAGTAAGGGGAACTATTGTCTGCTAATGTTTTGGCTTTTTAGATCACACTGTTGGGCTCTTTTGTTTCCAGAGTTGCTGTTCATTTATAATCTGGATTCTAGAATGTTCTGCCATTTCAAGAGATGGGAAAGAAATCCATCATAAATTCCTTTTTCAAGTTCAATGGCAGGAGATACCAACAGATGAAAACACAATGTGCTGAGTTGGCTAGATTAGATCTGAATGTTTCTTTTATTGGAATGAACATTTGGGAAAGCTGCATGAAGAAAAGCATACCTTGGATAGCTTAAAAGTATATGTACAAAAAAGTATACATTGTGGAAAGTGGGATATAAATTTATGCTTATTAGGAAAAGGTTAAGAAAATGTATACAACAATTACAACAAATACAATTCAGGAGATGATTTAAAAATATTTGCAGGAAATATTTTTACAGAGCAGTACTTGAAAACATCATATTGGACATAGACTGTATTTATTTATTTGCTTGCTTGCTTGCTTGCTTGCTTGCTTGCTTGCTTGCTTGCTTGCTTGCTTGTTCAGGCTTATATGCTGCTTTAGTTACAAACCAACCAACTCTAATGACTATAATCCCATCCACACATCTTTACTCTTAACAGATTTAAACAAATTTGAACCTATATATAGTTCAAATTTGAAAGGGAATGGGATTTCTCTGGCACTGAAATTCATTTTGGGTTTAGTTTATAATTGTACATCCTTAGGGGTTGAAGAACTGGCAAGGTCCTAGCACCAGGGGAGAAGCTTTGGCAGTGGTTCAAGCCTGACAACTCATGCTGCAGTAAGCGTGTTCCCTTTTGCTCCACTTCAGATTCAAAAACATCCCCTTGCTGCAACATGACCATATATCACAGTGTTGTACAAACATACAGTTTCATCTCTGAAACATGTAAGATAGAGAACCATAATCCTGGAGAAAATCTATCTATGTACAGTAATTGCTAAGAATTTTATTTTGAATTGTTTACTTTACAAATAAATGTAATTGCTTGCATAAAACAGTATTCAGTCCACAGACCTAGTATGGGAAATAGGGAGAGCTGCTCTATTCTCTCAGAAAAAAAAATGCCCTATGTCCACTAATCTGAAAAACCTAAGAGAAACACAAGCAACTTCTCCATTGGATAGCCATTCTCAGGAAGTCACTCAGCCAAGCCACATTCTGGCATACTGAGTAAGACAAGATTTGCCACTTCTCCTTTGCTCCTTGCAAAGAGCAAAATGTCATCAGTATTCACAGGCTCTTGGCTGTAGTGCTTAAAAGCCTTCCTTTGCATGCTGTTTTGTTCTCAAGAAAATGTTGTGAAGATATGAAATAAGTCAGATAATAAACCGTTATTAGATGGAAACAGTGCAGAACATTATGATACTGATTTGAAGGCTGACTTTGGAATGGAACTAGTTGTCCCTGATGTTGGATATGTGACTTACTCCACAAACGTATTAGTTCTTCTGCAGTAATTCTTTGTTGCTTCTTTTCATATTTCAGAATCCCTTCAGAATCCTCACAAGTGTGAGGACAAAACTTGCTTTTTCCCTTTCAGTGTCACATACTGTAACTGAGAACTATGCAGCATATCTGAACAAAGTTGTTTAGTGGAGTCAGAAATAATGTCAGTGACAAGATCACAAGATCACCCTGGGACAGCTTTCTCCAGTCTAGCACTCTCTGGTTCTGTGGAATTATAAATCCCATTATTTTTAATCATTTTTGCTTTCCTGCAAATATATTGGATTAACAGTGAACATTCTGGCTTGCAGTGATACAACTGGAGGGCACCCATGTTGAGAAGGCATTTCTCATGAATCTCTCCTTCCTCCCATAAATAATTATGACTATATATTTTTTTTCTCTTCTTTTAGGTTAATATCGAACACTGCCATCCGATTTTTGCCTGTTGTTAACCAAGTATACGCTTTGCAGAAAGTTGTGTTGTAAGTTTTTCCTGGATTTTTTTGCAGTTTGTATGTTCCTGCATGTGTGTTGTAAGAGAAAGAGAGAGTCATGGGGGGGGGGGAAGCAAAGGAAAGAGAAATAGGAGATATAAATTAAGATGGATTCCATTCAGATTACAGTTAGGTCTTACAACTCTTCAACAGAGTAAAATCTCAGATTTTAAACTTGCAATGCGAACATGAAAATATAAATTGATACTGGATAATACATATTTTATTTCTGGAAACTCTACAAAAGTTTCAAAGTGAATATAGCTTCAAAATTAAACAATAGATCAAATTAAAATTATTTCTAGTAAGATACATTTATCAACATCATGTGAACATACTTCCATTTATGCAGAGACTCTTCCTCTCCATCTCTTTCACATGTACCTATATGCCCTTCCCCAGATCTACTTCAAAGAGCCCTTAGCCTTTCTCCAGAGCAAGCATAGGGGCAAGAGAAGAAGCTGCAGAGGGAAGGAGTAATTCATTCTCCTAATATCTGTAGCAGCAAATGCACACCCCTGGAATTCATTCATAAAATAATTCTGAAGACAATAAAGCCATTTTGCACATGGAAACCACATGCCATTGGCATCTATACAAGAATAGTTTCCCAGAAAAAAATAGGATTTACCTTCAAACTTCTCTCTTTCTAAAATCAGATTTTGACCTTTCCTTGTTAATTTCAAATTCTGTCCTCCTGATAGTGATCACAGCAGAGAGAGAATTACGTGTGGTGATCATTGGTTGGAGATTCAGCCACCATGAAAAAGAACTTTAGTAAAATACCAGAATTTGATCATCAATAAAGCAGTATTAGTTGTTATATAAAGTACTTATTATATACTTTATATATTATATATTTTGATATGATTGTAATTATGTAATTATGTTCTCACTTCATTTTTATTTTGGTACTTACTACTATAAAATCTTAAAGGATCTGCGTTGTATTTCAACAATACAGTATGAAAATCCATGTTTGTATCCCTTTCCTTAACTTTCCTTTTAATCTCAGAGATATTCAAGACAATATAAATATTCGCAAAATTGAAAGAAATTCTTTTCTCGGCCTAAGTTCTGATCGTGTTGATATGTAAGTTACATCTGATTTTATACATATACATGTTATTTATTCTTGCCCATCTATTTGTAAGTAGATCTTTTGTTATCTGAGAAGTTTTAAAATTAAGATTTATGAACTGCTATTCAGTTGTATGATACCTAAAATAGTGCCATCTTGGGGGGGGGAAGGAAACAATTACATGCAATTTATCTTGGCAAATAAGGGCAGATTGGCATTAAAAATCACCTTTGCTTCCATCGTTACTGATTTATCCAATTCAATCACTTTTCTCATGGCATTTCCAGTGTCTGCTTACAGCATGTCCTATATAGTCCTTCCTTTTTCACGTCCTCATTTTCTCAAGTTTATACTGCTTAACCTACATTTTTTTAAAAAATGCAGATGCTACAGTAGGCTTTGAATTTACTACAGCTTTCCAACTGATTAAATTTCATGGATGTGAAAATGGGCTTCAGTGCTGACAGGGCTTTACTCCTTTTGCATTCAATGCTCCCCCCAGCTCTCTTTCTCAACATGAAGCACATTTAAAAATTAATGATGCTCCCATTCCTTCCCCCTTTCACATGCCAAGGCACTCTCATATCATTCAAGTGCCACTCAAAGTCAGCAGGATGGCTTCTTATTTCCTGTCAGCTCCTGACATTCCCTTCCTTCATTAAACGATGGGGAGAGCAGCTGATTATTTGATACACTTACGCATAATGTTAATATATCATCACTGGCTACTTCACAGGACACTGTCATGCTGCCTGCTTGGAACCTTTTGCATTGTGTCGTTTACTAAATCAGCATGCAGCCTTGACACTTCTCATCTCTTGTCTGTTGGGCATAACTGAATATATGTAGGGCAAAGCA